CCCTTGCACCCCCCCCCCCCCCCCCCCCACACACACACGCACTCCTGTGGGACACTCCATCCGCCCCACCATCTCAGCATTCATGAGCTGCACCTGGTACCTTGAGGTATGTAGAAAAAACATTTAAAGCTGTGTCTATGGCCGAATCGCTGATTCTCTGATTCAGCATTGAATCTTCAGATTCGGATTTGGCCGAATCAACTAATCTAATCACTGTCCCCCAAACCAGGCTGAATCTGAATCGAATACAGCCCGCTTCCCACACCCCTACTACTCATAGTATGATTTGGCCCCCAGTTTACTGCTTGTTCTGTGTGGTTTTTAAGGTTCTGAGTGAGACACATCAGCATTTTATGTGATTCTTATGAATCTGTAGTCAACTTTTGCTCTATCAGAATTTTTTTTGTCTGAGAAAAATTAGAGATATGAAGTGAGATTTTGTGCTAGATGTCATATCTGTTATGAGGCTTGATTTGTTTCTATTTTGTCAGTCTTGCTGCAAGAGACTTATTCAAAGGTTTTCTTCTAGATTGGTGTAACTGAATTTTAGAAACTTCATTTACAGGTGTACAGAAATTTACAGGATTTACAGAAATCTTTAATTTCTTCCAATTATTCCATTAATTCAAGTTATATTTTATTATAAATAACATCCATCAATCCTGTGCAGGTGTTGCTGTGGTCGATTGGTCAGGCAACATGCTTGCTTTACCGCAAGTCTTGCCATGAAATACTCTGATGTGAAACTGGGTGAAAATTTGAGTCAGGAAATAGAAGAATGGTCAGTGGAAAAACACACAGAGCAGACTTCAACTGATGCTTATGGTGTCATAAATTTTCAAGGTGGCTCTCATTCCTACAGAGCTAAGGTATGTATATATGTATGCAGTTGAGAGGTGTTGAGTATTCATCTTAAATCTTGACATTTAGGCTGCTTGGAGAAGTTAACTTCCCCCCCCCCCCCCTTTTTTTTGAAACAGACTTTTTTTTTTACCATTTTACTGGAAGCAGCATGTTACTTCGACCCAGCTCCACAGCGTCTGTATAGATTGGGTGCTTCAGTGGGGCCTTTTTCTTAAGTTGATTCGATCAGCTGTTATATAAAAGTGCTAAAAGGCCCTACTAAAGCACCTGATCTATACAGACAGTGGGTGAGCTGTGTCAAACTAATGATGCCTCTTCTGGGCATGCCTTGGGCTCATTGCAGGAGCACGTAAAGTTTTAAAGGAAAGCACTGTTTTGTTTTGGTTTTTTGTTTTTAATTTCTGCAAGCAGTCTTAAAAATTTCACAGTAGGAAAATGAAAATCCCTTTATGTATGTTGTGACATAGCCGTCTCTCCTCAGTTATCTCAAATTATTTCTAGTCAGTATGTGCACGTGTGCACATGCATACATGCACACACACTTAACCTCAGAGCTTCCATGCGACTATTAGGGCTGGCTAGCTTTGTTGATGGGACTTGCTGTAAGCAGTAGAGGGTGGCAAGCTTAGGGGAAAAATTTCATAGTTAGAATGAAATTTCATTTGCAGAAGTGAATTACTTCATGCCATCTTCCCATTGGTTAAAACTGTATGAAAATTTTATCTATTGAGGTATTTTGCTTGTTCATATTACTGCTGTTAGAGTATTGTTAATACATCCATTGTGTAACCTCTTAATAAATTTTCAAACTATAAAAGTGACTTTCACTTGGAGGAGCTGGCAAGTTAAAAAAAAAATAAAAAAATAAAAAAAATACTGGCTTGTATATGAGGTAGTCTATGTTATCGACACCAACCCACTGGGAATTTGACCAGGTAAAACTTTGTTTCTGTTGCTGCCTCTTCCTGACAATGTAGTTTATATTAAGGATGTATTAGTAGTTTGTCTGATGTACTGTCTTCTCAGTTGGTCTTGCTCTTCATGGTCTTCAAACAGTATTTTTACTTAACTTGCTTGCTTTGGTATTCTACTGAGAAATAGCATACTTGTAAGTTTCTTTGTACCTTTTAAGGAATATGAATGGGAAGGGAAAACGGAGGTGATCCTGTTTGTTCTACAGTTATCTTTTTATATATGATGTGTAGCTGTAATTAGTTGTATTTTGCCAGTTATCTAGTTTTTTCAAATGTGTGGCAATTTTGTGGAATACAGTGGCATTGGGAAGTAACCTATTTGCTGTCCTTGGAGCTTGTCATCCCCATTAGGTGTATTTTGTGAGCCTTTGAAGAACCTGCAAAAGCTTACACTTGACCATCAGCTGCATCTGCCTTGCTTTATGAAACAGTGGTGTTTTAATCTTGCAGCCCTGTGGGCTGCATGAGTGGTGTGGGGTGCTAGTCCATGGGCCAGATCTGGTGCACAGGGTCAGTCCACTGGTGTGATCTAGCATGGTAGCATGGCCATGTGCGCTAGCTCAATCCTATGTGATGGATTCAGCTGTATGCTGGCACACTAGTTCACAGGTCCATGTCATCCAGCTCATGTAGTCAGGCAATTTTGCCAGCAGGCGAGCTGCAATTAATATAGCTGCTGCTCCCCAATTGCCAAATTTTTGGACCCACGGGGAGACTCGGGTTGGATCTGGTCCATGGGCTGGAGGTTGAATACCCATGGATTTATATACTTCGCTATAGACCAGATAAGCATCTATTTCTTTTTTTGTATTTCTTCCTTACCAGTTATGTTTTATTATGGGAAACCTATTTATGGTTTATTATGGGAACCTTCTAACTCAAACTTTTCCATGTTTCTTAGTATGTGCGATTGTCATATGACACTAAACCTGAAGCCATTCTGCAACTTATGCTTAGAGAATGGCAGATGGAGCTGCCCAAGCTTGTTATTTCTGTACATGGTGGAATGCAGAAATTTGAACTTCACCCACGCATCAAACAATTGCTTGGTAAAGGTCTTATTAAAGCTGCAGTAACAACAGGAGCCTGGATTTTGACTGGAGGAGTGAACACAGGTAAAGAAATGTAAAAACCTGTTGACTTCAAATAAGTACAAATTAATGTATGCACTCCTATAACATGTTTAACTCATGAAACTTAGCATATTTCATGTCTGTCTAATTTAAGGAATAAAATATTTCAATATCTAAAATTCTTAATAAAGTCTGTGAACTTATAGTCTGTTAGGAAGCAAATACCTCGAGCACTTGAACTTGTGGTAGTGTACTTCACAAATTTGGAATTATTATATAATGTGAGCCTCACAGCTCTTTAAAGACATGAAGTATTATATACCTGCATTTGAAAGTGTCAGGGGAAAAGCTTCACTTCCTTATTTTCTCTTATTCTGTTCAGTGTCGTGATCAGTAAAAATATTAGGAAGTGATTCTGTCTTATAAATCTAGCATTTATTCTGTGACATTATTAAATCACATTCTTTGTCTCTACTACATTTTGAACACCATGCATTTACTAAGTCTATTAAATGATTTCTTAGATATCTAGCAAATTAATTATAATTGATAAATTTGATGCTGATTAGACATTGTTTGTTTTGCATGACCAGGTGTTGCGAAACATGTTGGTGATGCCCTCAAAGAACATGCTTCCAGATCATGTCGAAAGATTTGTACTATTGGCATAGCCCCATGGGGAGTGATTGAAAACAGAAATGACCTTGTTGGAAGAGATGTAAGAATGAGTTTGTCCAATTGAATTAACTATTTTATCTGATGGATCTGTTGAAATCAGTTTTAAAACAAGCTGCCTTACTGGCTGTGTGAAATTGGACTTGTGCTATTTCTGCTGTGGGTGGTAAGCTGGGAGCTGCAAAGGAATATTGCTGCAAAGTTACAAATGCTAATTCAGTAAAGGAAAGAGAGAAACCTGCCAAAGATGCAATGCTAAGTAGATTACTTCAGCTTCTACATTTTATTCCTCACTTTAAGTACAAGTGAAATATTTTACAAAAGATTGTGAATGTAAATTGTCTGTATTACTACACTAGCAAAGACCAAGAAATAAAAATTTATAGGATGACAATTCAGGGAAGTGTATATGTGTGTCCAGAAAAGCCGCAGATTGCTGCTTCAGGTTTCCCAGAACAAGCAATCTTGATCTGAAAACAAATATGAGAAACTTGCAGATAGTGGAAACTTTCTCAGTAAATAACAGAACATGATAATAGAGTAGCGCAGACAATGTGAAAAGTGCCCAAAGGATTTAGAAACACAAATCCCACTGTAAGTTAAACTTATATCGTGACTCCCTTTGTTGGGGAGACTTTCAGACATACCGAAGAATCTCCACTTTTCAAAATTGGAGAGCAAAGTGGATTTAAAAGCAGGTGGTGGTGGTAGAGAGTCTTCCCACTAAGAGGTACTCTTTTGTTCCCTTTGACAGCCATTTACCCCATCATTGGAGTAGGAGGTTCAGATAAGGAGTGAACTTAATAGAGAAGCACTCCACTGTACCTAATCATTTTGTTACTTGAACTAGAGCCGCTTTCTTGTAGTGGGACCAGGAAGCTTGATTGTTCTGTGTTGAGGGCTCCATAGTCCATACTGTTGTGCCTGAGCGGAATTTTAGCAAAATGGAGAATCTGGCACTTGGAGCAGAAGTTTTTCCTCCTCCATAGGTGTCATCAGTACAGTGCTGTATAATTTAAAGTAGACAATTATGTGGTCTAATTTACATTTTTTTAATTGTCATCTTGCAACTGAAGTCTCAGATTTCCAAAAGGGTCTTCCAATTATAATGCAGCTATAATATGCACACCCAGCTTAATAGGAGTCCTCATTGACTCATGAGTTTACCTTTTACTATTTTCTCCCTGTCTGTTTATGAATAACAGAACAGGATTTTAATTTACAAGAGACCTTCTTTCTCTGTTAGACTTAAGTGCATAATTCCTGTATGGTAGAGGTGCAAAAACAAAACCAAGAGAGCAGCTCATATTGCTGTTCTAAAGGAGTTTTAAGGTGCTGGTGGTATCTCTATTGGTTGTGTCTGGACCAAATTGGTAAATTGGTGATTGATTTGACTCTGCAAATCATGCCTATTGTGTGTTGTGTTCAGGTGGTTGCTCCGTATCAAACCCTGTTAAACCCTTTAAGTAAACTAAACGTCCTAAATAATCTCCATTCCCATTTCATACTGGTGGATGATGGAACAGTTGGAAAATATGGAGCAGAAGTTAAACTGCGAAGAGAACTGGAAAAAACTATCAATTTACAACGGATCCATGCAAGTAAGTGGTTCATATGTCAGTAATTTCCCAGACACTTACATAAATTAACTGCAGATTTCAAATGCCTATCTATGCTAATATAGTTATTTGGGGGGTAGAAAGCAAAGATCTTCCTTGTTTGCTTAGATCTACAGTTTCTTTTTACTACTTTATTCCTCATAATCAGGGATCCTGGTTTCCTCTGTTAAAATTCCAAATTCTCTGATTAAAAAAATCCAAAATTCTCTGATTAAAACCCCACAATCTGCGTTTTTCCATGATTAAAATGAAATGCCACTACCTATCGGTCTATCTGTCTATATACATAGAGAGAGAGATCGATACATAGATTAGGGCTATGCAAAGCTTTGGTAGCTTAATCGATTTGGTGGCGATTCTGCCAGATCTGGTGGTCGAATCTCTGAATCCAAATCGAACCAGGAGACTCTGTAATGTCTCTGAATTGAATCGGAACTTTCCAAATTGATTCAGAGAGATTCGATGATTTGGACAGATGCAGCATTAAATGATTTTTCTACGTAACTCAAGGTACCAGGCAGCTCATGAATGCTGAGATGGTGGAGCGGATGGAGCATCCCATGGGAACGCAGGGGTGGCCCCAGTGCACTCAGCAGCGGACCCAGAAGTGGACCAGAAGTACCTCCGGTCCACTTCTGGGTCCGCTGGGGAGCGCATGGGGACCCCCCTGCTCCCTGGCTTGGTGACTGGTGCCTCCTGGATCTGGGGGGCTGTGGGGGGACCCTCCCCGTGTGCTCTATGGTGGACCCAGAAGTGGACCGGAAGAACTTCCACTGTGGGATGCTCCATCTGCCCCACAATCTCAACATTCATGAGCCGCGCCTGGTACCTCGAGGTATGTAGAAAAAACATTTAAAGTTGTGTCTGTGGCTGAATCACTGATTCTCCAAATCAGTATCAAATCTTCAGATTCAGATCCGGCTGAATCAAATCGGGACCGTGATCCTAATCAATTAATCGAATCGCTGTCCCCTCATTTGAGCTGAATCTGACTCAAATATGGCCCACTTCGCACACCCGTAATGTAGATATAGATCTATATACAAATACAGATATCTGTATGTGTATCTAGATATAGGTATCTATAGGAGTGTGCGCGCACGCGTGTTAGTTCAACACAGTGTTTTATTGATGCATTTATGATTTTAAAGCAGTCTGAAAACCTACAAGTGCCTCAGTCGTTATAATAAAATAAATTCTAAATACCTATATATTTTGGCATTTGATTTTGCTTTTTTTTATCATGGAAAATCAAACCTCCTCTGCCCCCTTTTGCTCACCAGGACGCTGGTCCAGCTGCAGTTGTCCCTCCCAGGTGCTTTGTGGTACTGAGCAGCCCTGATATACTGTTGCCCCTCACTCCCAACCCACAGCCCCCCTGGCCCTGACAGTGCCCCTCACTCTTGACTTGCAGTGCCCCCACCTTCTCAGCCCTGTTGCACTCTCAACCCACAGCCCTGCCAGGGCCCCTTACTGTCAACCCCTCAGGCCCCTATGTCTCTCCGCTCCCACCTGCTGGAGGGAGTCCCTGGCTGCCAAGGTTACAGGACCCAGTGGCTGCATGCTGCCTGCTCTGTGGGTGCCAGCCACAGCTGCCCAGCAGCACTTAAGCCCCAGTTGCTCTGTGTGGGGAGGCAGTGGCTGCTGCAGCTAGAGTGGAGCACAGAGCCCAGCTGCCACCCCCAGCGGGCAACATGCCTGGAGTGGAGCCAAGCAAAGCCCGTGAAGGCCAAGGGAGGATGCGGGTTTCATGCTGCGGGGCTCAGGGCTCCCTGCCCTGCTGCCTTCCCCCTGGGGGCTTGTGTGGCCCAGCAGATAGACCCCAATGGAGGAAGGGGGAGCAGGATAGATGGCGTGGGGCTCCCTGAGAGTGCACGTAGTGGTGGGGAGCTGGCCCTCCCAACCAGCCCCTCAGATGAGCTGCCTGTTGCTCTGTTCATTTCCCTAGCTGGA